AGCGTAGGTGTGGGTGACCTCAGGAGTACAACGACTGTGCAAACACTCCATATGTTGTCTACAGAGCAGCCCACAACTTTTCACATCATCTCCCTCAGTTTAATAAAAGTAATGTACCTATGCCTATGGGTGTATGTAAATTAATGCATTTTTGTAGACAGATGGATGTCGCTTTATAGTTAGAGCCTTGCAGGAGGTTTGCTGTGTGGGAGCTCTTGTTTACAGTTTTTCTCCCTGGTCTTGCTGGGTTGCGCTGGACTGCCTAACTCTCGCCTGAGTATTTCTTACTCCCTATCCTGTCACCTCTCCTGTGGGACCTCTCCCACCTCATATCGCTCATTACTCACTAGAGTGGTCTCCATCCCATCCCTGGTGTGTTAGAAGTTGCGGCACCTTTTTTTTTCCTTTTTCTTTCCTTTCTAATTTAAGCATACGGTTCTATCTTAGAGAGCTCAGTGCTCCAAGCCCAAGCCTGGAGCAAAACCTGAGTCCAAGCTGTGGCTCTGGTACATCCATTTATAACATTGGTATCAGCCAACCAAGCAGCATTACTGCCTGGTCGTTTCCCTGTGATGCATATGGTAACCATTTTTATAGTTTCTTTTATACTTTCAGCAGACTTTATAATAGCAATAATGTCATTCAGATAATTATACCGTAATTGACCTTAGCGTCGAGCATCCTTGGCTTTTACTGCAGTTTGCTTAATACTTCAGGATGGTCAATTATCTCGTAATTCCCACTTTGTTGGGAATTATTGTTTTAATTATTACACTCCAAATACATCATTTTGGCATAGTAGTAAGGGTACGCTGGGGAATGGTCATATTCGTGAATGCTTTAAAGAGTTACCAGCTTTATCATGTGGGAGGGCTTTTCATCCTGTCATCTCTAGTCATTACTTTTAACACTGATTTCATTTAATTATCACTTAGTCTGCTCAGGCCAGGTCTTCATCTGCAGGAGTTAGCATATGGGGAGTTGGGATGCAGGATTTGAGAGCAGTTAGATGGCTGTGTAATCTGACCGTATTGATTTCTTTTCTGTCATGTTACAGTGTGAGTCATCTATGTTATGCAAGTAACTTTCAGTGGAAGTTGAGAGTAAAATGGTAAATTTAATTTTTTTTCTTTTCCTAGCAATTTGAAGTATCAATTATCCCAAATACACAGCGAGCACGCTGATGTTTGCTCTGTTACTGGTCATAATTTTACTTCTGCCTAAGAAGCTTGTATGGCCCTCTTCACATTAATTTAACTTGCGCCTCTGTGGCACTGGTACTCCACCAGCAGCAGCACCCTGCCAATGCTGCAGAGAAAACAGAGCGGTCCTTGTGGGGGGAGATCCTCTTGGTTAGCACTGTGCTCCGCACTGCCCAAAACAGAGACTGCAGAATAGCATGCCATGCTTTACAGCCTAGTGCAAAATGTACTGTGGGTCCAGCACTAGAAACACTATTCCACTTTTTAAGCAAATTATGTGAACAAGGCAATAGTCTCACCCTTTCTATAAATGTATATGTTCAGTTGTTTTTTTGTCAGCATTTTGTGGTGTATTTAACATGAGTAAAAATGTTCTACCTAAGCAGAATGTGAAAAATGAGTACGTTTTGCTAAAACAGAAACTAAATATAACCTACTTTCACCAAAGAGTATTTTTTTCTATGTCTCATCTAATTATATATGAGCAAACTCAGTGTTGGTTAGTAGGAAAATGCTACTCTCTAGTAGATTAACGCATTTGATTGAAGAAAACAGCGGTGTGAAAAGACTTTATTTCTCTATAAATTTTAATAGTTACTAAAATGAGGACTCCAGCCCATTAAGTTACAGCCTGCCAAGTCATAATGCTGAATCACTTAATTTCTCTAAGTAGCTATCCTATTCCAGCTTCTTAAAGGCAGCTGTTAGGAGAGCACCAATGTTTTAATCAAGACACAAGGCAGAGTCTGACAGCTAAACAGCGTGCTTCGATGGAGGTTTTCTTGCACAGTCTGCAAATACAAGGACCTCTCTTGGAGTATGTAGGCTTGCACACCCAGGAACCAAGGTGTGGGTGTGTACAGGATTATATGTAGGAATCTGATGTCAGTGGAAACCATGAGGACATTGTTACAACCCGGCATTTCTCACTGAAGGTAGATCCTTACAAGTGTTTATAGGCTGAAAAGTTATTGCAAACAATAGTGGTAACTTGGTATGGGTAATAATGTTGTCCCTCACACACTGAAAATACTAGGTGTTACGTCCATAGGAAGATCTAGACCATAGCTCACTGGCTGTATATGTGACTTATCCTTATTACTTAGCATAAAAGATAAATTTAGGTCTGTCAGCACCAGTACCAGAGATCCCATGAAGCTGGAGATCTTTATGTGGCAGGTGCACTACATGTTGAAGGGAAAAGAAGCCAGGGCTGTTGATTGACTGGCTCCATGCAAGGGAAGGGGTCAGACAGGTAAAATGTTCAGATTTGTTCTGTAGTCATTGACTCTTGTGGCAAAATAATGTTGGTCCTGTTTCAGTTTGGGAAATGAGAATCTGCCTGCTGTCAATAGATGAGTTGCCTCTGTTTTTCTGCTAATGTCAGGTGAGATACCACAGCAAGGTCTTTTCATATTGGTATCAGGTCTGATCCATCTTTGAAGCAATAAAACCATTAAGCAATGTGTATTGCCCCAATGCCCAGTGTGGTGCTCATCCTTTACGTGCTAGTGATAATTAGCTACTTTATCATTCTAGTAGGGAGCTTTAATTTATTACTTTATTAAGCAGTGAAATCAAAGATTAAAATGGTATCTATAGCACATAGCTAACTAGATTGTGAAAAATGAAACTATATGGTTTCAAATTTACGAAAATATTTCTATTTAAATAAGTGCAGTAGTTTAATTCTTTAGACACTGCTCTAATTTGTAGTTTACTGGTGATTATTTTTCTTCGTTTTAAAGCAAATTGCTTTCTGTAGGGTGAAGTTGAGAAATAATGAATTGAATTCACATTACAAGCTACTGCCTCCCAAATTGTAAATGAATATAAATGTAATAGGAACATACTATTAAAATCTTTTGCAAAAGACTATGCTATGTCATTGCAGTAAACAAATACATTTTTGAAGCCGTCAGTTCATTTAATGTTGCATTTCTACTTGGCCTTTATTTTAAGAGCTTCTGTGCCTACTGCCAGTACTGTCTCCTCATGTCTTAACATGTGTTGTCTCTTCAGAGCAAAAAATAGCATTGTTAGTTTGTGTCATTTAGTATAATAGTTGATTAATGATCTGTTTTAAAGCTAAATCAGTGAAAGTATTTTAAGATGTATTTGATCAGGGTGGGAAATCCTTGTCTACCTATTTTATACTATCAGGGAGAGAGAGAGAAGCGGGCAGGCAAATGGGAAGGGTACAGACTGTGTTCAGCACTAGCTTTGTTCTAAAATTTTTGTTTCCACTTGGTGTACTTAGAGAGTAATTGACAATTACCAGTCAAAAAGATGGAAGATTTTTGCAAATTCCACCACTCATTAATCTGAGCTGCTGTGGGCAATAATTGGAAATTTAGAAAAGTGGAGAGGAGGACCTGATTGTCCCAGCAGGGAGACATATTCTCTCATGTGACTTGGGCAATGAACATAGCTGAACTTCTGTGGTTAAGTGTTCTTAATCCTTACCAGAAGTTTGTGGTGTAATAAGGAAAAAAAAGTAATTGGTGATAGCGATGGAACAGAAATTGCATAATGTAAATGCTAATTTCTTGGTTTGCATTCCTGGTAGTAGCTATAAAATAAACCTAGGGAGGTGTGCACTGAAAACCCCCAAACCAAATTGCTGTGTTGTCTGTAGTGCGTGGAGGAAGAACCCCAAGTTTCTGGATGAATGGGAGGATCTAAAATCTGGCAGTAAGGACTTCTTTGGTTGTTGTTCCTCCCACCTCCTTGTATAAGGAGGACAGAGAGATAGAAACAGTCAGCAGGATTTCAACTGAGAATTACTTTCATCTTCATTCCTGTCAGCTCCAATTCTGCAAAATGCCTGAACACATCCTTACTTACGTACGTTCAACTGTTGACTTCAGTGTGAGATAAAGTTTAGCGCATGCTTAAATGCTTTGTTGAACTAGGGCCAAAAGCTGCTGCTGCTGCTAAAATCAATCCTAGAGGGAACTTTGCATCTTTCGTTACTTTCTTTTTTTGTTTACCAAAGTACAGGGTCCACCAAGCTTTGGAAATATGGTAGGAGTTGATAAATGTCGCCTGCCTTGTTAAAAGGAGTAGAGAAAAATTGTTGGATGGTAGCACATATTATCTTCTTTTCTCTCCTGTCCCATATGCATGCTCTTTAATGATCACTACGAAGCGAGGGCTGCAGGTTGGCAAAAGAATCCTGAGCCATTGCATTGTGTTTCCATCTACTGCAGGCGCAGCCTATAATTACAAAAGGTGCCAAAGTGAAATGAGTATAGGTGTTTTCCCCTGTTCTTTTCTGCTGCGTGACTGTTCAGAAACTTGCTTGCTTCTCTGCTAGAAATCTTCATTCAAATGTTTGCTGAAGTGTGACTACCTTGAGCCACTTTGTTCTTCTTGATTTACTCAGGCAAACACACACATATACACCCCACCCCACCCCTCTTCTGGGAGTATTGATTTAACCCTGCACATTTTTAGAGGAAACAAGCTAAAACCAGGCCAATGCACGGTATTCATAAAATGCTCCCAAGTAGCTCTACATTCATACCGTTGACACTGCAGATAGCAACTATGATCCATCGGCTGATTGCCTTTATCTGTCTCTTGCAATGCATTGTGCACTTTTAATACAAGACACTTGCTGGGTAGCTATAACTGATTAAAACCCAAAGTGTTATCTGTGAGAACAGCTCCAAATCATATTATCGGGGTAAAATCATATTACCGGGTTAAGTTGTATTGAGGGATAGTGACAAGCGAACCACTGTTTTGAATGAGCATCTGATGGTGTTTTCTTCATCTCTTTTCTGACTTCAGAGCTCTTCTGTATCTCCCTCAGCCAGTTTCAGAACAGCAGAAAAGCACAGGAATTCAGCAGATTATTCTTCAGATAGTAAAAAACAGAAAACAGAAGAGAAGGAAATAGCAGCTCGTTATGTGAGTAAATTGTCTACATTGTGCGTTGTCGAACTTAAATGTTCCTCTGTAATTTCACCTGATTCCTCCTGCATACCTAATTTTAAAATTTAGAGAGTCAAATTTTTAACAGGTTCTTACTGCCTGCCTCTGACATCTATGCTGCATGGAAGGCTTTGGTGTGTAGGATTGATAGTGTTTTTAACAATACAGAGCACCTGGAAGGTGTGTGAGAAGAGGACTTGGTAGATCTGGACTCTAGCTTGACTCTGCTTCTCAGTGCAGCACAACTCTGGATGACGATCTTCATCCTGTGTCCTTGTTCACCATTGTGAAAACTGGGAAGAACGCTTTAGCTGTGGCAACCTGTTAAGCAGAAGCCCTGTAGCAGATGTGAATATTACAATTGTATTACCACATAAAGCCTGGTAAAAGTAGATGCTCTGTTGCATAGTTGTGAGCAGCCTTGCATTTCGTTGGTTTATTTTTTCTTAGTGCTTAAGGGACATTGGGATATTAAATAAATGTTTTTAACACATTGTGATGTGTCATTGCAGGACAGTGATGGTGAAAAGAGCGATGACAACTTGGTGGTTGATGTTTCCAATGAGGTAAACACAATGTTGGTTTTTGTACCTTACAGCTGTGGTGGTGTCTTCAGTGGTTTCTGTGCATATTGGGTATATGAATAAGATTACAGCCTTTGCCTTCATAAAGGAGCTTGAAATGCCTGAGGGAATCCAGTCAGGTCATCTTTCTTTAGAATGCAAATCAGGTCTGTAACACTTATTTCTACAAAGGACCTTTTTGTTTCTTGTATGAACCAAAAGTCTGCTTGAGATATTTGAAGACAGCCCAGCACAGCAGATAGGATGCAGCTTGTAACAGTACCTATGTTTTCTTTCACTCTGGCCATGACTTCATTTGTGAACTTTATCAGGTTCAAACCTTTTCAATCTGTCACCTGGAAAATGAGATTTACTTGCCTGTTTCATAGATTTTTAACATTTTTCATGGTTAATGGCATCAAATTTTAAAACTTTCTTTAAAAAAAAAAAGTTGTCGTTCATTATTCATCTTGATTTTACAGTTTTATCAGCTAAATCAATTAAGAACTGAAGGAAGATGTCACTTTTTAGGACAGATCTTCATTCCAAAATGCGAATTGCTCAAGACAAGCACCAGTGGCTATTACGAAGTTTTTATTCTAACCCACGTTGCTCATGTTTAGGATCCTTCCTCTCCTCGAGGGAGCCCAGCACACTCTCCACGGGAGAATGGCTTGGACAAGACTCGACTGCTGAAGAAAGATGCACCAATTAGTCCAGCATCTATTGCATCCTCCAGCAGTACTCCTTCCTCCAAATCCAAAGAACTTAGCCTTGTAAGTGCTTCAAAATGCTCCTGACCCATGATCATATGCTGAAACACATACTTACTGTATTTCTGTCTGGACACAATTTGGATTTCCACAGCTATCAGTAAAGCACTATGCAGCATCAATTTAAAATTTGTTTAATTTATCTCTTCAAGGGAATTTAATAAAATAGTAAGAAGAAAGTTCACAGCCTTTTTTTGAGATAGGAAGAGGTTATTTTCACTGGTGGTGTGGGTAGATGATAGATGTATTGTGCTGAGAGATGTTTTTCTCCTCCCCCATATGAAAAACTGTCATTCTGAGAATAAATAAAAGTACACAGGGGTTCCTTGAGCTGTTTTGCTGTGCTGTGGTTTACAGCAAATTCAGTTCTCTGCTTGGATGTGATTTGGTTGTTAGCTTTGTTTGAATTACCAGGCCATATACAACAACAATAATTTTTATTTTCTATCTAAAAAGTAATCTGTCATTTACAAGAGCCTTCCTTGACTTGCATCGCAAATCACAATGCAAAAAAAAGAGCTGCCTGCAAGTCGGGGATGTTCTTTCCTTTCCTGTTTGTGACCACAGTTAATCACCTTCCTGAGCTGCACAGTAATTCCCCTCTCAGTTCTTCACAGGTCAGGGTACGTGATTATTTAAAGAAATAAAATAAATAAAAAGAAAGCTTGAAGTGAATGTAGTGCTCAGGAAAGGTGATGGAATGACAGGTTCAGGCCCAGGAGTCAGTGGCTGGTCTGATGAACAAGCTTGTCACAGGAGTGGCACTGCATAGTTCCTGACTTCATACCCATCACTGTCTCCATCCTGTGTTCCCAGCACCTCATTTGGGCATGAGTTGTCGGTGAGTTGTGGGGTTTTTTTTCGCTCTTCTTGTCCACCTGGCAGTGGCCTTTCACAGAACCTCATAATCATAATAGGAGCAGGTCCTCCATGAGCAGTGTGAGACCACTGACAGATTTCACATATGGTGCCAATGTAATTGTCGGACAGCAATGATTTTCAGTCATTGACCTCATTCTGAATCATATGTATAGCCCCGACAAGGAAAGCTGTGAAGGCTGTAGTTAATTCCCAAAGCCATTCTGTCTTTTTCAGTGTCTCTGCAGCTTCTCTTCATTGCCAGGGACTGTTGAAACTCGAACCCAAAGCTAAATATCAGTAATCACATACACTCTGGTTGTCGTTGGCTGTCTTTCCAACCACTAGCTAAAAAAGTAAAATAACTAACAAACTGTCTTCCTTTTTCCTTTTTGGCGATTAGAATGAGAAATCTACCACTCCAGTGTCTAAATCAAATACCCCAACTCCACGGACCGATGCCCCAACTCCAGGCAGCAACACCACTCCTGGACTGAGGCCAGTGCCTGGCAAACCTCCAGGTGTGGACCCACTAGGTTAGTGTTCATATATTTTGATGCTGTGAAACGGTGGCCATTTGTCCCTAACCAGGCTCTCTTTAAATCTACAGTGATCAGGCAGTGTGTGTGTGTGTGTGTGTGTGTGTGTGTGTATATTTATATTACTGTTTGCCAGACTCATATTTCATCTGATGGGTCTGGGCTGGCTGAGTGACTTCTCTCTTCTTCTCCACTCAATAGCTTCAGGTTTAAGGACACCTATGGCAGTGCCGTGTCCTTATCCTACTCCATTTGGGATCGTGCCACATGCTGGTATGAATGGGGAGCTGACCAGCCCTGGAGCTGCCTACGCTGGTCTACACAATATTTCCCCTCAAATGAGTGCAGCAGCTGCAGCAGCAGCAGCAGCGGCAGCTTATGGGAGATCTCCGGTGGTGAGTGTTTGCTGCTAGTGCGTTCAGTGTTGGGTGCACTTTATGTTAAATGTAAGACCTGCGGGGTTAAATCTAGTTCAGTCTCTTTGAAATTTGAGGAGTATGCTATGGAGAACATGAATTTACTTCCTTTGCCTAACTCTTTCGTTAATACAGTTTTTTTTTTACTTGGGGAAAACTATAGGTTGGTTTTGATCCACATCATCACATGCGAGTCCCAGGCATCCCTCCCAATCTCACAGGCATCCCAGGAGGAAAACCGTGAGTATCAAACATTCAACTTTAAAAGTCAATCATCTGTTGAAGTTGTGTTCCCTTGCTGGTTGGAATTCCCCTTAGCTACTGGAAGCTATTCTGTGAATAGAAATAAATATAGCTATTTGGCAAGGGCAGGAGAAACACTGTTTAATCTTAACATTGCATTTGTAAATTTGTTTTGAAGGCTAATAGCAGCCGAGAAGGACTGGGTGATAAAGAGTAAAGGAGACAGAAATAAACGGAAAAAGGAGCTGAACTTTGAGGTGTTAAATGCTGAATCTGACTGGTTGGTCTTATATGGAAATGCAAACTGGAATGGGATCTCGGCTTTCCATCTCTACTGTACTCTGCTTCTCAGTTTTAAAAAAAGATTTCTTTGTTCACAAAAACCTTGCAATTACTTGCAAACTTATCAGCTGCTATGAACACCAGTGTGCAGAGAAAGGAACACTGAAATGTTTTGTTTGATTGAAAAGACTGGAAAGAATTATTGTATCATAATGTTCAAATTCATCCTTGATGGAACTGACCGTAAAAGGTGACCTGCTCTACCAGGCTTCGCTTATTGTGAGCCTCGGAAAAAGAATTACACAGATATGAAGAACTCTGTGCTCACATCCCTCTTGAGTTAGAGAGGGGAAAAAAGCAGCGATGCAAACCATATTGATCCAGATTTTATGTAAGGGTCCTCCAGTTCCATTTCTTTCATGACATTTATGGGAAACTGTGACCAGCTAATACTGAAGAGTTTGACAGGCAGGGGATGTTTGTGCCATTCTTCTTTCACTCTTGTATGTATGAACGTGTTTGTGGAGGAGTGTTTGGGGTTAGTCACACACTTGCACACAATGTGAGTAAATGCATATGCTTGCCTGCCAGTGAGCTTACGGACATGCAGGATTAATAACATATCGTGGTGACAAGCGATCAATCCTAGTGCCTGTAACTCCTCTTGCACATATGTGTCACACGTATGATAAACCATGCCCAGCTCTCTCAGACCTCACACACTAGTTACCACCTCATGTTGACTTTTGTACTAGTTACGCTGCCCTGTTAGGTGGGTGCATAAAGCGAGTTTGGAAATTGGTGTGCAACAGCTTCCAGACCAGCTGCTTGCATTAAAAATTCTGTGTGGCACAGATCTTCATCTACACGTGCAGTGGGCACTTAGAAATGTCTTGACTTAATGTTCAAATGTTCGCTGGGTTCAAGTTCATCCTTGGTGGAGCTGGTCACTCAGAAGGAAGAATGACCGGCTCTACCAGGCTTTGCTTGCTGTGGTCTGAAAAATGGCAATACCAGGGTGGCTGAGACCTCCATGCTCACATCTCACTTGTGTTAGAGGAGGGGGGGGAATAAAATGTGAGGCGAACTGAAATAAAACTGGTTCAATACTGGTGCATCTCCAAGGGGTTTGAATGTTGTTGACATACTGATGACAGTTTAAAACATTTAAATGTAACTGTCATTTGTCTGCTGTAGGGCCTGAAACCTTTGAAATCTGTGGTTGTTTTAGCATGATTGCATTGATTTTTCTTCATCTTAAGTGCAGTACTTTTCACAGCTATCATTCGGGATTGTTGCTTTCTCATTTACTCTTCCTTTCCCTGTGGAGCAAAAATTATATAAATTCTCTGCACTGTTGAGTGTCTGTTGAAATGGAGCGGGCAGCGTGTGGCACATCGGGGATCTGGCCCATAATAACTGTCTTTTCACTTTGGAGATATATCAAATGCTGAGGATTGTACAATGTATAAATAAAAAAGGTAGCTAATGTGAAAAGAAGAAAAAAAGTGCTCGCCAGGTGTCTATAGTGTCAGATATTTGTAAGATATTTAGAGTACTTCAAATAAGCAACATGCAGTGTTAGTTCTCAGAGTGAAAAAAACCCCACCCCTCAACCACCACAAAACCAAACAACAAAGCAACAGTTTAATCATACGTGCTGGTATGGAGTAATGGATAGAGCGAGAATAATGTAGTCACTGATTAGTCCAGATCTAAGCATTATTTCTGTAATTGTTAAATACGTTCCCTATGTACTTTACAAGCGTGCTAAAAATCACTTTGGCTGATAAAAGTATCATGCACTCAGTGCTCAACTTGGCTCTGCAGAGAGCGGCTGCATACAGAAGTCAGAAAAGATGATAATGAAGCTGCACTTGTTTTGTTAGAGATTTCTTGTGACCATCAGCTGCTTCTTTCAGTACTTTACTGCAGCAAACAGGAATTAGGGAGATAATGAGGAAGATATTTCCAATGTCTGCAGTGATAATCAAACCCTGATTCTGCTCATATAGGCAGTTGGCTGCTTCTGACAACCGCAGAAATCTGTCCTACCCTTTTCTGAATGTGTTTAATGTCAAAAAATGGAGAATGATGATATGATCTGTCACTCAGACCTGCCAGAACAGGAAACAGTGCAGGATGAGAAGAGTGTGTAAAGCTCTGGGAACAGGGCAGAAAGGTGAAAATGCAATTGCATTTTGTCCCTCTGAAAATTATTGTTCTAGTGCTAATGCACTATGAATATTAAATAATAAATTCAATAGTTGAATCCTGGACACTGCCTTCTTCAGTGACTTTGAAGCAACAATTAAGCAAGCAATCTTCCTAAGTATTCTCATAAAAAGATTTTTTTTTTGTGAGCTCTTCTCATCCCACCATTGTGACAATGGATTTTTCATGACTGCTATGATGATTTTTTAGGTCTAAGGAAATTAAAGCCTTCCGTTAAGCATAGCTTGGTATGTGTAGGTGAACCGTCTTATAAAGTTTGTGCTCTTGTAATAGATGTGATGTGTCAGGTAGCATCTCAGAACAAGACAATTTCACAACCTAACTGTTCTCCCTGGAAAATATTTTGAGATGAAGCTGTTGATAGGTTATTCACAGGTGGCATAACTGCAGTCACACCACACATTCTTTCTCAGCGAGAGCCCTGATTCTGGCAAGAAAAATTGGGATTTGTAGTTGTGTTAGGTCCACACACACACAAAAAAAAAAAAAGTGGGGGGGCAGGGAGAAAAGACAGCAAGCCCAAAAACAAGGAAAAAAAATTCCAGCGAATTTTTGTTGGTCTATCCTGTCAGACGTCAGGAAGCATTCCTGGAGTTTAACCTGAGGGGCGTGGGACCCATGGTGCGTTTGGAGCAGCTTGTCAGCAGTCCAGCTGAAGTTTGCACATTAGAGTCAGTAAGGGAGCAACCAAATATCCCCCTCGGGTACTCAACTACCCGCTGTGCTCTGCCACAGCCAGCCAGCTGTTTCTGTCTTCCAGGGGGCCCTGACCCGACCTTCCTTCCCTTCTCTGCATGCGGTGATCTCCCCGTGCCCCAAGTTTAAGAGTAGCATTGTGTATCCTCACCCATGCCAGCAGTCATCATTGCCTGAGTTGTAAAAGCTCGGTTGATTGGTACATGGTGCTTGACTTTCCATGTTAAAAAAGAGTACCTAAGTTTATGCTTTGAGGGCCAAGCTATAGATAAATAAATAATTTCTTCTTCACATGATAAAAAGATTGCAAAAGGAGCTGAGTGCACAACCTGAATGCCCACAGTGGAAACACACCTTTAATTCTGTTTTCTTAAATAGGCTTGAAGAACTTCTTAAATCACCCCCATCTTTTTTCTTTCCCCTCAGAGCATACTCATTTCATGTAAGTGCAGATGGTCAGATGCAGCCGGTTCCTTTCCCTCCTGACGCCCTCATCGGTCCGGGAATCCCTCGCCATGCCCGTCAGATCAACACTCTGAACCACGGGGAAGTTGTGTGTGCAGTTACCATCAGCAACCCCACAAGACATGTGTACACGGGCGGGAAGGGGTGCGTCAAAGTCTGGGACATCAGCCACCCTGGCAACAAGAGCCCTGTCTCTCAGCTGGACTGCCTGGTAGGTGAACACGGGCATACGACAGTAGAAGAAGATAGCAGATTGTGTTAAGATTGAAATGATACCGTTAAGGTACAAAAAACAGTGGCTATTTGAGTGCTGTCATTGGTATCAAGCTTGATATTTCATTTGTAATTTTGTTGTTTCTTTTAGAACTGAGTTTGAAGTATTTTCCTTGTGGTTCCCCCCCCCCCCCCAATAAATCAAAACGTCTTTAATATCCTAAAATTGTATTGGTAGGGGGAAAGATCAAAGACAGCAGAGCAAATATTGTTTATAAACTTTGACATTTGTTGGCAATCTTAAAACTTGATATCCTATCATGCTAAAAATTGCTGTCTTGCAGCTGTATTCTCTGAGAATATTTGAAGACTGTGTCACGTATTTTGTGTCTGTGTATGTGTGTGAATGCATTGCCCTGTCTTAATGTGACAATTAAAAATATCTCTGAGTGTTATTCACAAATTATTTGAATGTGCTAACAAGATGAACCATTGTTAGCAGCTTTTCTCGTGTCATTTACTAGTTCTTGGTAAAATGTTGCTTCTTGTTACAGAGGCAGTAAAATGCTGTGCAGCACATGTAGACATATAATGAATTGCTACACAAGTTGCTACACAAATGAAGAAAATTGCCCAAATATTTTCCTCTGACATCTTCTAGATGGTGGCAGCAAGTCTCACTGGAACAGAGGGGGGGGA